CTGGAATTAACAGATTCAGAAAGTAGTTGGTACATATAACTAAGGGGGGCTCAGAGCTGGAATGGAGTTGTAACCAAAATTTAATAGTGTGGATCCATGCCCTAGTAGCCAACAAATTCCGACTGCACTCCAAACATAATGTGGCATATGGAACACACATAGGTACCCCCATGATCTTTCGCAGAAAGGTAGAGTGGACACCTTCGACTGAAATGTTCATTGTATCAATCCAGAGAGGTACTCCTATAATAATACACTCAAAGTAGCTGAAGTTGGAGAACTCTTTTCTAGAAGTAAAACTCACTAGCCCACACAGTGTTAGCAATCTGCCACGAACTAAAGAGGAGGGGAAAAAAGCTTAAAACCATCCTTGTCTGGAGGCCGTCCTTATAACACACAATCAGGCAAACGGGTACTTAGAAGTCTGCCTGCAGTCCAATGACAGCTATCATCACTCAGTGGTAGGGTTGCCAAGTCCATCTTCCACCCCCAGCGGGGGACTTTGGGGGCGTTCCTGGAGGGGGCGGGGCATCCCTGATGTGATGACATCACATTGGAGACGTCTGGCCGCCCTCCCCCCACCTGCCCATGCGCCGGATCTCCAGAAACAGCAGTTCCCTGCACTTAAAGGAGCCAGTGTTCCCCTTTTAAATGCAGGAGCCGGCATTTCCCCTTTAAGAGCAGCCACGTTTCCCTTTTAAGAGCACGAAGCTGGCATTTCCCCGCAAGCTTGCGGCGATCGGGCTTGGGAGGAAACATGGGTTCCACACACTTAAAGGGAGAGAGATGGGTGGCTGTGGGTCCTGGGGGTGGGGCCCAAAACGGGGGACCCCTGGCAAACCGGGGGGGTTGGCAACCCTACTCAGTGGACAAGCTAAGGTCCAATGCAACCTACAGGAAAGAAATGCTTAGCTCCCAGAGGCTTCAACAGAGGGCTAGGGTTGACTTGCCAGTCAGCTAGCTGACCTTGGCTGTGAAGCAGCCCTTATACATATGGTGGCCTCCATTTTTAAAATCCACTTCATGGTATTTATCTGAGAACAAAGGAGAAGTTCTTTTATCCTGCAGGTCTGTATGTGCCCCTTCCCTATTTAGGAACATGCACCCCCGTCTGCCCAACATTATAACCGCACAGAAACACAGACTGTTGTCTATTACAGTTGATGTGTGTGTTTTGTTTAATTCCATTTCTTTTACGTGTTGGAAGGCTTTGGGTTTTTGGTGCCAGGATTAAAAATTAACACTGTCATATTTGGACCACTTTGCATAACTTCTTTATGGTCTTTTGCGTCTGCTCCACTAATGGGCAGAACATTGTTCCGGTGCAAGGATTCTTCCCCCAACGCAAGACGGCTCTTGTACCCGTGTTGGTGGGCAGGCTCCCCGTGTTGGATAGAAAGGCCGAAGTTAATAGAAAATGTCTGTGGGAATCAGCGCAATGGTTTAGAATTCCACTCACCCCAACAGTTATTTAATCCCTTCTTTCACGATAACCAAACATTTGGTCTTATTGGACTAACTGGTTTACCAAGTATTTTAGAGGCAATGGGGCCCTGCTACTCAACACATGCCTAATATTCTCTGGGCTGTGTCACACCCATTAACACATATACGGTCTGAGGGATCGAGGGATCTCAGGTTAGATCCAATATGATGGGCGCACCGTGAAAAGACTGTCTTGTTCCCCACTCAGTTAAAGCAGCATTTCAGCATTTTTTTAACTGCCAAAACCAAAGGGGGGGGGGGGAACTGAGACAGCAACGTTAACAAATAGGGGCTTAACTGGAACACTTTCTTGGCAGCTCCTAACCAAGAAAGAAAATGTATGCAGTTCCCCAAAGAACATGGTAACAGAACGAATGCATGGAACTACTTCTTCAAAGTGCTACTTTAGTTCAACTTATCCTGGCAGGGTTTTTGGCCATGCTAACTGGATGTGGAAGGAACTTCAGCAAAACAAAAAGATATAGGAATGCTATACGAAACTTAGAAGGACAGCACCATCTGGTGTTTTTTATACGTCTCCCGCACAACTATTCAGGTACTCGGACCAGGGCTATTTTTGGGCAGGAACGCACAGGAACGGAGTTCCGGCTGGCTCCCAAGTTGGCCACACCCAGCAGGAACCTATTAACATAATAGGCCACACCCAACAGCAGAAATTCATTAGGATTGGCTACATTAGGGGTGTGTGGCCTAACATGCAAAGGAGTTCCTGCTACAAAAAAGGCCCTGGGTTTTGACAACAAACAAGGTAAACAGCATAACAAGCAAAAGGTGGGTGTGGCTGGATAACCACACTTCTGGTAACATGGGGGTGTGGCCTAATGTGCTAATGAGCTGTGATGTCAGGGGTGTGGCCCAATATGCTAATGAGTTCCTGCTGTTGGGTGTGGCCTATTATGCTAATGAGTTCCTGCTGGGCTTTTTCTACAAAAAGAGCCCTGAGTACTCCACATTTTGAGGTAAGCCTGTTGTCCTGACACTACCCTTCGGCACTGAAGCAATGTGTTTGTGTGAGGTTTTTCCCCCCACTGGTGCAGCAGATGATTTCATGTCATGAAAACATCTGGAAACCGAATGTTGCAGATAAACTCCCATCCCACAAGACAACAAAGAATCCTTCTTCACTCAACTGAAAAAATGCTGCTGAGCATAAACCAACTGGGGGAATCATGCCCCAAAGCCCCACTTCTCTGGCTGCCGCACCAACCTTCCACATTATTTTAATAAAATGCTTCAGCATGCTTACAAAGTAGAAGAGGAGTAGTTTTTTATACCACACTTTTCTCTACCTTAAGGAGTCTCAAATACTCTTCAACAATCTCCAAATTATTTTTAACACAGTGATATCCAGTTAAGACAGAGATAAAATGAGGTCTCTTACTGGTGTCAGCAGGAGGAGGAGGAGAAGGAGAAGAGGAAGAGAAATTGGATTTATACCCCACCCTTCACTCGGAGTCTCAGAGCGGCTTACAAACTCCTTTCCCTTCCCCTCCCCACAACAGACACCCTGTGAGGTAGGTGGGGCTGAGAGAGCTCTTTCAAGAACTGCCCGTTCAAGGACAACTCTTCTCAGAACTATGGCTTGCCCAAGGTCATCCAGCAGCCGCAAGTGGAGGAGTTGGGGAATCAAATCCGGTTCTCCCAGATTACTACGCCAAACCACTACACCAAACATATTCAACTGCCTACTTTGACATTAAAATCTCATAGTGCACCCTGACCTGGATAGCCCAGGCAAACCCGATCTCGTCAGACCTCG